AAAAAGTTTTTTTTTTTAATTTATTATATACTTTTTAGTCTTGTCTGTATAAAATTTTGCAATAGATACTAAAATAATTCAACTTGCAGAGCAAAATGTTAGCCGTCACTGAACGAACTCAATGAGGTACAACCAAACTCGCTATCGTCTATCCGTGCTTGCTAACTTTGTTGTTGCTTTCACATGCAAAATTCTTCTTTAAGCGATCGGAACTCAAACATAGCGAGTGAGAAGTGGCGAATCGATGACGGCTGTTGTTTGCTCACATTTAGTATATGCCTACATATGTACATACATACATATAGCAGCAATTAATTTCATTTAAAGCAGTCATGCCCAACGTCGGCAGAACTCCATAAGCAAGTGCCCTGCGCTGGCAGAATTCCATATGCAAGTGCCCTGCGCTGGGCATGACTGATTTAAAGAAATGACGTGTCGTCCATTTCCGCTGTAGCGTATGTAGTGCATATTTTTAACTTCTTCTGGCGAGGCGACATCTATCTCTAGAGTTTTTCTAATTGTATGTCTTTGATATGATACCTACGACGAGGTTGATATCTAGACTAGGTTTGCCATAAATACCTTTGCTATATTTATAGTATGGTGGTCTGGACATACAACAACAAGTTGATAAAAGCGTTGTAAAATAAAAATGAATTAGCAACACGAGTTTGCGGGGTGAGCATGGCTCTGAGGTTAACGCTTCTCCTTAGCACATCGATGACGCGGTTTCGATCCCTGCTGAAGTCTAGAAAAAAGAAGTCCGATGAGCAAATGTGGTGATCTCCAAAATAGCTGCTATAACTTCTACCGCTTAGACTTTGTTGCTTTTTCCATTTTTCCTAATAAATCGTGATACAAAGCTCAATAAAAATATTAAAAATTATAATTTTTTTTTTGTTGAAGGTGTTACTCATTGTCTTCATATCATCGAACATATTTACTTCGTATGGAAGAAAATAACCGGCACTGTCAAAAAAAAATGTCGAAAATCAACGGTAAGTCACAGCCGTTTCAAACTTGCACTGTGTGACACTAAAATTGAGTCTGCTATAAAACCGCATTATCAAAATCTAAGTTAAAATCTAACTAAGAAGCTCGAAATTTACCAGACGCCATACTGCATCTACTATTTTGAGTTTTGAAATTCAGACAGCGGATTCACTATTAGATACCCCGAAAGCACCCAGTGCAAAATTTTAAATCATTTCTTGAAATCTTGGAATTTTCGCCGCACTTTTATATTTCGGCCGCACTGTGCGACAGAATTATCTTCATAAATTCACTCACCTGATATCGTCCAGACAGCTTCTTTGAAGGTCCGATTGCACCTCATAGGTTTTCACGCCCGTATACTCCGCTTTTCCGCCAGCATATACACCCTCCTGTTTATCGATGGAGAGCCATTGATGACCAGCGAAATTGTACGTTTCATTGTAGCGTCGTCCCTCACCACCATCTAGCTCGAGCATGGCAGCCGAGCCGTAACGACTCACACGCACCACATGCCACTGACCATCATTTACCGCTATGGCATTCAATTGCAGGCGCTTCTCCTCGGCGCGCAGCGAATTTAAGTTAAATCGAAGCTGCAGGTGACCGCGACTGAGTTCGAGTATTGCGTACTCACGTTGGTGCTGATCGCTAACACGAAAAAGCTCACCCTGTTGCTCGCGTGTACGGAACCGCAGTTGCAGTTGCGTGCTAAACCGATCCGGTTCGAAGCTGAGTGCGAACTTGACATAACTCTGCGGTTTGAATGTGGTTGGTATGGTAGGTAAGCTGCAGGTCGGTCCCGTCCAGCCGGGTCGGCAGTAGCATTTGGCCTGCACTAGACTTGCCACGCAATTACCTTGTTCCCAGCAGCGCGCTGTGCTCTCGATTTTCAAACAGACCGCGTCGGTTTGAGGGCAGGCGGGATAGCTATTACGCGCCAACGCCGGGAACGCCAAATCATAGTGCTCGGAGTTGTGTATGAGATTGCGTATGCAGCCATCGAAGCCTTTAGAAGTAAAGGCATACTGCCAATGGTATAGTGTTTGGTCGAAGTGTTGCCGATAGATGCCACCTACTTGTAGTGGTACATTCAGATTTAGCGTTTCGCTAAAAGGTGGAATCAGACCACGTGCTTGGCATGAATTGTCATCGAATTCGGGCGCTGAACCATCATCCATCTCAAACACTTCGGCGCTACGGCAGAAATCAATTACCATGCGCACATTTTCACTGTCCCAAAATACATCTAATCGATGCCAGACGCCATCGTCAAGCGTCTTTTTTGTTTTCACACGCAATTCCAAAGTGCCAGAGCCAAAGTCGATGAGCAGACGCGGGTAGCCCTGTTCCAGCTCTACGGCAATAAAATCACGTAACAACTGCTCCCCCGGCTTAGGTGGGACTATAGGCCCATTGTAGAGGATTAGTCCATCCGCTTCGCTGGTAATAAATTCGAGACTGAGATGCGATTGTTCACACAGTTGCAGAGCAGGATACCACGCCCAGCCATTTCCACGAAAACTGCGCGTTGTCTGCTGGCAGCGTGGCCCGTTGTAACCTACAGGGCAGGCGACGCACTTTGGCCCACTGCGTGTGTCCACACACCGCCCGCCATTGTAGCAGTGATGTGTGCGACACGTCTCCTCTCGGCTAAAGGTGCGTGCCTTGCAAACACATTGAGCGCTTGTATTAAGTCTCACACCCACTAGCGATGTTTTATTCACACTCACTGTATACGGCGTCCGATTGCGTATCTCCACGTGGTTGGTACATGAGCCCTCGCAGTACTTCCGCTCCTGTAGGCATTCATCAATGCCCGCTATGGTGATATTTATACCAACTTCCTTTTCAATCTCTTCGCGATGCATGAGCACCACACCATTTAAACGCACTGCCTTGAAGTAGGGCTGCTGTGTGGGTGAACGGGCTGCGAAATGTACGTCCGTCAACAACGGTCGCTCTGACTTCAATTGCACACTAAACACATCTACATAATCACGATCTGTGTACAGAAGCTCCGCCAGTTTTTCCCGAAACCGTTCGAGCTTGGACCGCTGTAGTTTATGTTGTTCATAGTCCCACACGCGTATAAAATCTTCATCACTGATACCCGTCAGCCGCATGGAACCCGCCTGCTGCACCGCCTCGTGAGTAATATCGCGCACCACCACAGTCATATTCGCCGGCACATCCACTTGCCCCTGTTCCCGATCGTAAACTTTAAAGCGCAGCTGATAACGTCCACGACGCGTGCCCGCACGCATCATAATGATGCCCGTGTCCGTGTCCAGCTTGAAACGTTGATGCTCTTGCGCTTCCCAATAGTACTTCTTGTCCGGCACATCCCAGTCGTCCAAATCGTGCACGTACACACGTCCTATTTGCGTGTCATGCGATTGTCCTTGGTAATTATAGACAACAACATCCTTGCTGCCTGGCAGCATTTTATTATCGTTTACATCGCCAATAATGACAGTCAAAGTGCTGGTGCCGGTCATGGGTGGTGTACCGTTGTCCTTAATCTCAATTGGTATGAGGTAGGACTTTTGTTGTTCGCGATCGAAGGGTCGCAGCGAAGAGACAATGGCTATGCCATTGCCATTGTCTCCACCTGCGGGTTAAAAGTATACGAATTCATTTTGTTTCCATAGTAAGAAAAGAGAGCAATGTGAAGGCGGTCGGTAGGAAATAATGCGCGTGTTGGTGTTTGGACGGATGGCCATGGTTAATTTGGTTGATTTGCCAAGAGTTTTGTATTTGTTTTGTTTTTATTAAATGGTTTGTTGATATGCCCCGTTAAACGTTGTTCACGAAGTTGTTTTTCATGTTATGAATGTTGCATGAAAAGTAAATAAAAGAGTAAAAAGAGAAAATAAATTTCTGTCGAAGTAGCAAAAAAGTGAATGCCTAAGGCTGGAAATATCTTCTGTCTACTGATCGATTGCAGAGCAATTGCTCTAATTACTTGCCGAGGCGAAATTGAATAATGCTATGGAGAGACGCATTTCAATATAAAAAATTACCTGCTAAGTAATGTATTTTACAAGTGAAAGTTTCAAGGTCCAGAAATACTCTTAGGTAAAATTTTTCTGTATTAGGCGTGTTTTATTTAATTTAAGCTATTACCTTATTTTGTATGGAAGGTTTATACGGGTGAAAACCGAACTCGCTTATCTGCTTAAAAAGCCTTTATTTGCATTAACTCATGCATTATCCTTTTTCGAATGCGCATAAGCAGTCGAACTAATTCACGGAAATTTCTTGCGCGTTAATATCATGAAGCAGACATTCGCACAAAATAAAGAAATCAAAACAAAAATATTTGATTATGAATATTATAATTTTTTTTTATTTTTTTAATTGCAGTCATGCCATTTTCAAAATTTGACCAACATAGGAAATAAGCTTATATGGTTTTATTTGACCAAGATTTAGCTTGTGATGGTTAAATAAAACACATATATGCTTATTATTATTTTATTTGGAAAAGTAAGTTTGCATACATATGTTTACTGTTCTTGATTGTAAAGCAATTAAAATTTGAATTAATAACACGGTGCTACAAAAAAATAACGAAATACACTCGAGGGAAAATTTAGTGCAGTGTAGGTAGAGTCGAGTACAACATGAAAATAGGTTTCTTTTAGTACCTGAACGATCAATTTTTTTTTTATTTAAAAAACTGTTATTTTCGTACTTGAAGCTTTTATCTATTAACAGCTTGGTATTAAAAATATACCTTTAAAATGATGTTTAACAATATATTGTTAGACTTAGCATGTTAGGAATTTTCATCGGGAGAACTTCTCACGCTGATTTCAACTGTACCAAAATTATTTGGCGCAAGTTTATAAAGCAGATATAAAGGTTAAATTAAAGATTTTTGATTTTTTACATAGTAATATATTATGAACTACATAACCGATTTAAAAGCTAATGATGTCAAAATAAAGACAATCCATTTATCTTTCAGTTGATGTGAATAATTAAAATGCTTTTTTTATAAATTTAATCCAATAATACTTAAAAACGAAAAAAATCATACTTTTTCATAAAACAACATTTTTTGACAAAATTTCACAATTAATGAAAAAAAGTTTATACTACTAAGAAAGTACAAGTTAATACCTTTAATTTGATGTACACATTTAGTTATGATCTGCTGTTGAGTTTTAAGAATTTAGTGTTATTTTGGGGATAGTGAAAGAAGTTCTGCGCAAATATCCCACGATATTACGGCTCCGTCTAGCTAGCACCCCATCCAAGGATTTACGAAAAAAAACTATACGGAAACGATTGGTCATCGTTTGGTCAGGATTGGTCACTGATTTCCATCGTTTGGTCATTAACCGTTCTCTTGTTATTCAATTTTCAAATTAGGGGTTGAAAATGTCATGTGCTGGGGTGCTTTGTGAAAAAATATATATATACAAACGACTGGTCATCGATTGGTCAGGATTGGTCACTAATTTTCATCGTTTGGTCATTTGCTGTTCTCTTTTTATAAAATTTTCAAACTAAGGGTTGAAAATTTGATGTCCAAGCATTTTCATCATTCATTTATTCAATTTTTAAAGTAGGGGTTTACTGGAATCCTGAGCTTTTGGTCGCCTAAATATTTTAAATAATTCTTTAAATAAAAAGAAAAAATGGACAGGTATGTTACACATTACAAATTGGCAAACAAATTACAAAAAAATCAACGCCAGTTTTTATAAAAGGGAAGTGTTAAATGAAAAAAAAAATTAAAATTTTTTTGAAATGATGAAGTTTCACTGATGCTTTAAGTTTCATCACTTTCGCTTTTGGTTGAAGGAAACCGAGAATATGCCATTGATATGATCTCAAAAGTTCATAATTAAAAAATTTTAATTTTATTGAAGTAACTTAAGAAGTAGAGAAAAAGTACATATATGCCATTAATATGATCTCAAATACCATATCATTAGTTAAATAAAAAGTTCCTTATTAGAAAATTTTAATTTTATTGAAGTAACTTAAGAAGTAGAGAAAAAGTACAGTTTTTATTGAAATAACTAAAAAAAAGTTATTGGTAGATATTTTCCAGATTTGGTAGATTTTTCTCAAATAGATTGTAAGTATTTTTTTTGTCAGTGGCAACCCTGGTCCTGGAATCAGTCCCGGAGTTAGATATTCGTTATTTTGCTACAACTTAACTCGAAAAAATTTCATCAATAAATATTGTTTGAGAAGCTCTCTCACCATTTAATAAATAATAAATAAACGGGTTTTAAATATAATATATCGCTAGCTTAGAGTGCAAAGTTGCTAAGTCCATTTTTTTCAACTGTACAGGAGAAACAAAAAACGTTGCTAAGTAATTTTCTTCAAGTATTTTGCAAAACTTTGAATGCAATGTTTCGCGTTTTTCATTTACCCTTTATTAAAAAAAAAATAATAAAAAAGTCTGATTTTTTACAAATTTTGTAGATAATTTTGTGACTTAGCAAATTTTCTACGTTTTTCTTAAAATTTTTTTGATGGACTTAGCAAATTTTCCATGAATTTTTCCAATATGTACAATACGAAAAATCCATTTCGTAGGTACGTTTCAAGAAACAATTTGTTTGAACAAATTTATTTTCAGAGATAGTATTCGAGACTTCTAGCTTTAATTTAAGCCTAATATCACCTTTAGTTTCTTTGCTACGGCTTCTAAAATATTACAAAAGCGCGATTTTTTGAGACTTTGACCTCGTTTTTTTCCAAATCTAGAGCTGATGGAGACTTTATACCCTGCAGTGAAAAATTATCAATTGTTAAAACTAACCAACTTATAGTTAGCTTTTTGGCGAGATTTCGATTAATACCTCACTTTTAATTAGCTATGACAAAACCAACTTAAAGTGAATTGTAAAGTCGTGCAGGAGTCATGCAGACGCAATCGGGAGTTGGTTTTCTTTACAAGTTTCTATTAAATATCCTCATACAAAAATTACTTTCAATACACTTTTTTTCTGAACTTCGCAGATTCTTTTTCATATTCAGGACAAATAAAAGGAAGATCGAAATTTTATACTATCATTTTGAAGTTATGTCTGACGGTGTTCGAATATGGGGCCACCCAGAGCAGAATATGTAAACAAATATGAAATGTAATAAAATAAAGTAAATAAATAAGTAAATAAAAAAGTAAAAAAACAAAAAAATATTTTGTTTTTCTTATTGATATTTTATGTCCAAAAGTAGTTAGTTACAAGTTAGTTGACATGTAATGCAGAGGTATCCAGGTCTGACTTTTTTGCGGCCATCGCCCCACAAAAGTAGTTAGCTTTTTCGAACAAAATACACAGTTAATAGTTAGCACTAGTGTTCGCGTAAACAGACTAAAGTTAGGTATAAGCTAACGTCACTCCCTGCAGGGTACTTACGGACTCGTAATCAGCATAAAAAAGTCTATCCAAAACAGCTTTAACATTTGATGCAACGAAATTGTTTCCCATTTTTGTTCCCTTGTGTAATAGATTGGCGCTTACACATATGTTAGTCTTTGGTCGAGCTTCTCCTCCGATTTGTGGCGTGCGCCTTGATGTTGTCACACAATGGGAAGGGACTTACAGTTTTACGCTGTTTTTCTTTGCAGAAATACACTCGGAGGTTTGCCATTGCATGTCGAGGGGCGACCGCTGTTAAGGATAAACCTTCTCTTCACTGAACAGGCACAACTTCTAGAAACACTAGTTTACTTATGTTTATGCATACAATATAAAAATTGCAAATATAGGAAAATGACGAAAAATTTTGTTAAACATTTTTTTTGTTTTAAAATAATCTATACATAATTGCTCAGTCATACGACTAAGTTAGGGCGATCTGGTGCAGCTACAGAATTGAGTTTAAAATTAAATTAAAGTGCAAGCTCCATAGGTTATCCAAAAATTGTCAGATTTCAAATCAGTGAAGTACGTGCTAAAATATAAGCGTTTAAACATTTTTNTCAAATTAAAGATCAAGCTCCACAGGTTATTCAAACATTGTCAGATTTAACATCGGTGAAGCAGGTGCTAAAATATAAGCGTTTAAACATTTTATTGACTCACTCTCTACGTATCTATATATAATTGCTCAGTCATACGACTTAGTTAGGGCGATCTGGTGTAGCTACAGAATTGAGTTGTATACCAAATTAAAGTGCAAGCTCCATAGGTTATCTAAAAATTGTCAGATTTCAAATCGGTGAAGTAGGTGACAAAATATAAGCGTTTTAACATTTTTTTGACTCATTCTCAATGCTTCTATATATAACTGCTCAGTAATACGACTTAGTTAGGGCGATCTGGTGTAGCTACAGAATTGAGTTGTATATCAAATTAAAGTGCAAGCTGCAATTGCGATTACCGTGTTTGTCACAAAAGTAAAATTGGCAGAAAAATTAATAGTGAGCAGTGTAATCTATAGAAAAATATTTACCAAATATCCGTGGAATTCATAGTTTCGAAATTTATTTCCCGAAAGCAAAAAATAAAAATAGCTTAGATCACTTTCTTTTTTAAACACCTAGGATATCACTGACAAATTTAAAGAGCCCAGGATGACGGTAAAATTCAAAATTTTAAAATTTTTTATTTTNCGAAAGCAAAAAATCACTTT